TTCTTTTTAGAAGCACTTCAATTTTATCACCAGTCTCCTTACTAGCTCAGCTCCTGGAACCAGCTAACTAAAGGGAACTAAGTTGGATTTTTAAAAGTTTTCAGTAGTCCTAGCAGGGAAAGATTTCTTTACTTGTGGATTGTGTTTGGTTTTGGTGTCGTGGGTTTTTTTTTAAACTATTTACACCACAATTTTTTAATTTCTTTTTTCAAGCTAGTGGGCTCACTATTGCACAAGGTGTCTGGATTTCAGATCCTAACTGAAACCAGTTCAGACAGGGCCAAAACAAGGCTCATTTCAGCTGCAAACTACCACGCTTGCAGGAGGCCAGAATGTGACCCCTCACCAAAGGAAACCCTGGAACCAATTCAGAACAAAAGTGAGACACTGAACCCTCAAGCCCAGACAAACTCGAACTGGCACTGTCAATAAAGACACTGTCTTTCCAATCCTTTCTCTTTAAAGGCAGTTTTCTCTGCTTTTTCATGGCCTGAAACGATTGCTGTGCTCTCTTCCACACTGCTACAGAACACCCCAGTAGGAATTAAGCGACAAACCCGCATATCTCAGTTCTGAAAATATATGAACCCTTGTGTGACCTCCGCACACACGAAACATTCCTATTGTACCTCAGGTTTCCTGTTTGTGCGAGTCCGTGGCCCGGCCTCCAGCACAACCTTCTCAGCAGTTGCTCCACTTGGCTCTATCAGCCAGCAAGCAGAGATCCATATTTTTAAGAAACAAAAACACAAACAAACGCGAACAGCCAAAGCTCCCTCTGCACTTTTGACCTGTAAGGAATTCGCTTCCATTCATTCCCCACTGGGGATCGTAACAGACCGTACGCAGACGGGACATTTATCGCCCGCTTCCCGCCCGAGCCTTTCCGATCGGCATTAATTCTAAGCCGATTTCATTTGCCTCGGCCGCATCTTTTGCAATCCAGTTGCCAGAGCTGAACCGAAACCAAATCACATGTTGGGTGACAATGGGGCGAGGTCCCAGCCCAGCGCTCCACCTAGTGTCCCCTGCTCTGGGGCATCGGACCTTGCATTTTGCAGCAGCAAACAGACCTCTCCAAAGTGTCAGGAATTTCTTACATCTGTACAAGTTACCCTGAGTATCATCTTTTGGTAATTAGGTGACTCACGCCGTCTATATTTTAATATACTATCAATAGGAGAGAAACCATCTCAAGACTAAGAAGGAAAAAACCCCAAAAAGCTGTGTGCTAAAAATGGTATTTCGTGTCATTAATCATAATAGTTTTACTTCCTACAGAACGACATCATGATTACTATTTCTCAAGTGTTGTTTTTAAAGAATTGTGAAAAACCTTTAATGGACTTTGGGAAAATAAGCCAGCAGACTTGTTTTCAAAGTGTCAGAATAAAAAGGATTCTTGGAAGAGTGGCCTGCTTCCCTATTTCTCCGCCGAGGATCTGCTCCGTGCCAGCCCTTAGCTCGGTGCCAATTTACAGCACCAGAACTGTTTCTCAAAAAGCCGTGTCAACTTTTACATGCAGCGCTGGCCACAGCTAAGGAAGTGGCATTAAACTACAAACGAAGGCAGCAGATAACATTCAGACCCTTTATAACATATAGAAAGTTCTTGAATCACAGAAATAGCAATAAAAAGCCGATGAGCGTACTAGTAAAATTGACCTCTCCCTCCTACACAGACATGTATGCAGCAAGAACGTTCTGGTGACCGACAAAATCCAAATCAGATGTGAACCAATATTAACCAGGGGCAATAACTTCCCCCCCACGCTGAGATTGTTTTAGACTGTAAAAATCTACTCAAAGCAGATCGTTTCCAAGTCATCTCTTCTCCGCTAACCCCGGGACCTCTCCAGGCACTCGAATTCACGCCACTGCGAAAAGCAGCTGGTGAGAGATGCTCTGAAGAATCCAGACAAACGACAGTTTTCAACGCTGGAAAAACAGCTCGCCGGGCCAGGGAAGGCAAACCTCCAGTCATTCCCATACGGCAGCGTTGCATAAGTGCTGCCACGGCTTGCCCAGCCAACAGCCTGCGCCCAGGAACGGTCTGACGTGACAGCAGTTGTAGGCAGTAAGTGCAGGGCTATTTTTAAAAAAAGATGCACCTGTGTCACAGCTGAAGCAGCTCAGGCGCACAGTTTGAACAGGTGCCTACATGCCACCGGTTCCTACCGTGGGCCCTCGATGGCAAAGACAACACTGCAAGCCTTGACAAGAGCTCCGCAGCACATGGGTGGGCCCAAGAGCATTGTTCTCTAAGCATGTAATTGCATTCCCAACAATCTCACTGTACATACACATTTAAAACAAGCAATTAATTAAAGGCAATTTTAAAACACTTACTGAGCCTATTCTCTATTGCCAGCAAATCCAGGCGCTAAAGCATAAGAGGATTTGCTTTGTAACTTTTTCTTTGAATCAATGGAAGAATAAGTTTTATCACAATGAAGTGAAGCATATGGAACGTGAAAAGTAGATGTGCAGTAATGCAAAAGTTAATACAGCGAGTTTCATGCTTAACCTTTCTACTTTTACAGGCAACTGCTGCACAGCTTAAAAAGCAAATTAGTTTAAAACTTCTTTTGAAATCTGGAGCTCCTAATTGCACAGTTTCCAGATGGGTTAAATGCAGTATACCATTCCGAAATAATTTACCCTTAAGTTACTGTGCTGTGTTCCCTTTCACATGAGGTGTAGGCTCAAACTGAGGAGATATTAAGGACGGAATTACAACGCTGATAGCACATTACATACAGATATTGCTGCTAAAGCTGCATTGACAAGAATATTAACAGTTCAGCTACTTAAAATGGCATCACGCTGCCAGGGCACCGACCGGCTGTTTTTACACCCCCAGTGCCATCTAGTGGCCACAAGGCCAGGTACACGGCACTGAATTATGAACCCTTCTGTGCTCAGACGAGCCTGCAGTGCCCGGAAAGCGCACCCACCCGCAGCTCACAGTCCATGCTAACCACTAAAGCTTGCGGAGAAGAGAAGAGGAAATCGAATTTCTCTTTCTTCCTACACTCACTGCCTTTATGCAATTCCCTCAACGTCACAGAAACACGCTCCTCTGCCTTGCATATTTAAGCAAACTACTATTTCTCCTGTATTGTCATATGTTAAACGTTGATGGCATAGTTTTACTACATTTTAATCTACAATCACCTTCTAATTATCCAGTACAATCTATTTGGACTGGTTTTTACACCTAACAAAGTTATGTGAAATCTTGCCTCTTAATTCCAAATAAACATCTTTGTTGACAACATCAAACTAAATTTCTTTTCCTTGGTAACGCACCTCCCTGTAACCTTGGAAGGCTGCTCACCCCTACCTACACACCACCACAAATGGCACTGACAAGCCAGAAGAGAAGCTATATTTTGTATATACAGTACTTTAATGCCAGCTCAGGTCATGGCCTAAATATATCCACTAGGTTCACATACCCCAAGGGAGAACTTCTGTGACATGTTATGAAATTTAATTTGCTTTCTATTAAAGTAATTTAGAACTACTTAAACATCTGGATTTTTCAATAGTGAGGAAATGAAAGGTCAACTCATTCCACCTTCTAAAAGGAAAAAAGAAGTGGTGCTGTCCTATGAGGATTTCTTTATGTGACAAAATCATCTCTGAGTGGCCTAGGGTATAAAGTGACAGCACTCTTGCTGCCCTGTGTCAGATCAAAGAAACGCTACCCGCTTTCAAACACAATTTAGAAATGGTGGATAACGTTTCTTATTTACTGGACTTCTGACACACGTGAAAATTAAGACTAGGAACTGCCCGGCGAGCCAAAGCACCTCAATATAGGACTGGAGATTGTGGCCAATGCCTGGTTTGTCCAGCCCACGCCTCTGACTGCCCCACAGCGATTAACAGCATCGTCTCGGCCAGTCAGAAAGGTCTCTCCATCGTCAGTTCACTGCTGCCTAAGCACTACCCAGCATTACATAAAAACGTTTAGACACCGTGTTCATCAGCTTTTATTGAGTTTCCATTTCCAACCATCTAGACCGACAGCTATGCTCTTGTCTAGAAGCTGCGTACGCATAAACTCATTTCTGCTCAGCAATCTCCTGCACTTTCTGCTTCCACGGTCTTTAGCAGAGAAGCTACACTGAGAGTACGTCTAAGATTATGCAAATACAGCCCCATACAGATGTCATTTGATCTTGCCCTGCTGTGTGGAAAAGCACGAGTTTCTTGTTTCTTGTAGTGTTTTCTGTGTTATTGTTAATGATTAAAGCAGTTCTGAAAGTAAACATCTGTAATCGTTCCAAATACAAGATGATATTTGTTGCATAAACTGGCTTTAATTATTTTGTGGCCACGAATCCTTTTCTTAAATCCAGGACAGTGGTTTCATAAACAAGAAACTAATCCAATGGCCAAAAGCAAAACACACCCGAACATCTCCCTAACTTTCCTAGCTAAGCTGAGGTAAACAACATCATGCAAATTTTCAGAACCGATACGATTTTATCTTTGTAGACAAAGACTTTTCTTGCTATTATTTTCAAAGCAAAATGAATGCACACTGAACGCGAAAATAGCTGCCTACTCCAGTGGTTTCAGCTAGAAAAAAAATTATAATTTCAAGCTACTTAAAAAAAAAAAGTAAGCAGAAAAATTTTAACTGGAAACATTTGAGCTGCACACACTAGAAAATGTTTCATTTAAATTAGGAAATTGGAGGATGGAGCTTGCAACTGTTGACTCATTGTTTCAAAGTGAGGATTAACAGCAGGCTAATGGCTACAGTTCAACAAACTTCTAGCACATAAAACTACAAAACAAGGTTATATAGTATAGGACACAAACAGCACTCACTAGAGCCCGAAGCCTTACACTAAGCATTTCTTTTCCTTCAGAAGTACTTCATAATTTAGGACTTACAGAATATTCATTATTCACGTATTTTAAAATACACAACAGTTCAAATACTTGATTCAGAAAGAACATGGTATGGGAATTATCCTTACCAAATACAGCAGAAAGGTGTGGAGACCTGTTCCAAGTCCAACAGAGGACAGAATGCCTAATCCTACCCAGTAGGCACACCAGAAGAACTTTTTCTCCATATACCGCACATACTGAAAAAGAAAAATCACAAGAGAGATTAAAAAAAGCAAGAATGGCGTTATCTCCTAAGGGAGAAAGTTAAAGCTATAAGCTAATGCAGATAATTATCTGCATTACAACAGCTGAAATTGAATCCTAAATACTTCTATGTGCATTTTATTACAATTACAGCAGATGTGCACAGAAAATAGCGCACTTTCAAAAGAAAAGCCCACGCGCCTTAGAATCAGCAAGTTTCCAAGGAGACAGATGGAAAGTCCAATAGCAGGGGGCTGCAACCCAGAAGGGGCACAGGTGTGAGCAGCGAGTCCCAGATAGTGTCTACAGGAACCCAAGCAGTGAGCAGACAGCTCAGGGAATTGCCTGCAGAGATTAAATAAAAGCACAGAATTAGCTGCACTCTCAGTCTGTTAAGTGTTTTATCTTGGACCAGTGACTAACCATGTTTGCTACTTTTAAGAAAAGATTAAAATGTTGGGTTTGTGTTGCACACACAAGTGAGGGGATATGGGAAAGCCCAGCTGGGTGCACAGGAGAAAGGGGAAGCACTATCTCCCTCTCAGGGGAGCAGTATCCTCCTCCCTACTAAGAGGAGGAGCCAGGTCAACAACTTGTCTGTGCCACAGCCCCAAGACAAGGTGCTGTTTCACACCATCCGTGGACCAACAGCACCCAGATGAAGTTTACCAGTCTTAACCAGGCTTCAACCTGCCAGGGTGTAAAAAGGTCCTGAAAACGCCAAGTGAAGACCACAAATGTACTTCACTACGTTGAGTATAGTTTTGGAAGACAGTGATCCGTGTTCAAATGTACATTGATGGTCCAGGGGCTAGCAGAGCTCTGAAGGAAGGGGGATGGACAGACAGCTGCTGGCAGGCATGACTGAGACCCCCAGAATGGAGAAGTCTGAGCACTGGTGGGACCCTGCAGGTGACAGTCCCCTCACCAGCCCAGAGGACACAGGTTTGTGCCCTTGAGCAGCACTGCTGTGCCAAGCCTTGGGGCAGGGCAGGCCCAGGCACCAGCTCGGGGCATGTTCCTCAGCACAGCTTGCAAGGGCCATCTAGTGGCAAACATCGAGGGCTTCATGGCCTGGCCTTCAGCCGACAGGGCCAACCTGGCAGTTTATAATGCAGCACGTCATTGTTCATCAGGAACGCTTCATGGCCTGGCCTTCAGCCGACAGGGCCACCAACCTGGCAGTTTATAATGCAGCATGTCATTGTTCATCAGGAACAGGCCACTGATTTACCACCTACCAACTCAGTCTGCGTGCGAGCACTGAGGCCTCAAGCACAGGACTGAGCGAGCAAGAATGCGATGAGCTGAAGAAACACATTTCGCTGCATTTCAAGACCTGTTCTGGGAAGCCAGCAGTCTTGTTCCAGATCTGCATGTCCCTTGGACAGCCAGTGACACACCACAGCAGTGTGGATGAAAAAGCCAAACTGGGAACCTGCTGATTTCAGAGAGAGCAGCACCATGACTCAGCTGCACGCTGAAATGCTCTGCAGGGTTTAAAAGGCCTGGATGTCCTCAGGGAAAATCTGAAACTCAAATGGGGAGGGAAAAGGTCTAGACAACACCATCACCTTATGCTTAAGCCATGTGATGCAAAAGCATTAGTCTTCATGTAAACCAAAGCCCAGAAAAAGCATTTAAACAACCATTTGAAAACATAGCAGAACTAGATTTGAACCACGAAGGCATTTTATATCTAGATACATGCATGTCCTAGCTGGTCAGAAGACCCTTCCATAAGAATAGAAGAAACATTTCCTGGGAACCACAAAGCTCTACCCCGATCCAGTTTAACACTGTATCTCAAGAGCTCCTACTGCAGCAGGGCAGGTGTGCTTGTTCAGGAATGGATGAGAAGTGGAACAGCTACAGATGCAAGGGAATAGACCAAACAACACAGCTCTTCATTCCCCATCTCTGAAACACAGCTCAGCCACACGGCACAGAGAGGAATCATGACACGAGAAACAAACACCCTCAGCCAGTAGGAGTTCAAAAGATATATTACAATTTCATGAAGACCCCATTCGATTCCTAGTACATCAAACTTTAGCACAGGGACACAAAACACTAGTCACTACAGAAAGTAACTTGAAAGCCTCATACCTGTTGATGTGTTCCTTCAATGTAATACGCAGCTGTTAGCACTGCAAGCATCAGTAAAAAAGACACCAAGATACTTCGCCGATGCCACAATCTTAAAAGACAAATGGCAGTTAGGGTTTTTCATCATTTAGCACGCATTTCAAAGTAACTTAGTTAGCCCTACCGACTGGGTCTGTGTGGACATAGTCAGCAGGGACAACAGCAGCTGAAAAGTTTGCTATTCCAAAAGCATAAACCTCCCAAGAAAATATCTGGGGAGCCTTTATTTTTTACTTCACTGTCAAGCGAGATCAAAGTTCAGCCACGCATATTTTATTTTATTTCTTTTAAATAAAGAAAAACAAAGTAACTGTCTGAAAACAAACCCCATCTGAAAACAAATACTCAGCTTCTGCAGCCAAGAGAGTCTCAGACACAGGGTCACCACCACCACCTCCCCTCAAGCAAAGCGAAGTGCCAGGCAGGCACCGCGCTGGCCGGGGGCGAGGGATGAGCTGCGGGCGGAATACAGAAGTGCTCATGTCCAACTGCGCGCTGGCCGCCAGAACCACAGCGACAGCAAGAGCAACAAACCTTTACACCGTTTTTTGTCCCCCGGTCTATTGAAATGAACCTCTCCCCTAACAGCTCAAAAGTTTAATCCATGCATTTCAGCTAATGAAGTGTTAGGAAGCTACTACAGTAAGGGAAGAAAAATGTTTTCTTATGTCAGTTGATACCAAATATTACTTCTGAGCCCATTTAGTTTTGCACACACATCCAGCTTGATGGGTATGTGGCCGCACAGAGTAGATTAGCAAATACATTCTTTTTTTTTCTGAGAAACACTATTATGCTGTCACCTAATGCTATAAGAAAAAGCAAGTGCTAGAGTCACAATCTCAGACATGAAATAGCAAACTATGAACATAAGCCATCTATTCAGTCAGAAGGAAAAATTAAGAAATAAGAGACCTAGAATACAGGAAAACAGTCATAAACGTTTTGTATTAAGCAGGCTGAAGAAGTCACTCTGATTTTCCCGTAATTTTAAAACAATTTGAGCCATTTATATTAGTATGACAATTGGATTTTCAAGTGCTTGTCATCATTTAAATCACAATTTACTCAGGTGGAACACAAGAGATCATCAGGAGTTAGTCTGAGGTCTCACCTTAATAGCTTATAATAGTGCTATTTCCTGTAAAGATGTCAACACACTAGTGCCAGACAACATAAACGTGCTGCACGACAGAGGACACAAGTGCTATCTGTATGCGGAATTTGATGTCTAGGAAGCCAGGAAACAGGCAGCTTAAAATAAGACCTCAAAGGTTATTTCTGCAGCCTTTAAATAAATGCTTGCAGGTTCTCAGAGAAACAATTCTCAACGATAGCTGAAAGAACGCACACAGTAAAATACGCAGCTTGGGGGTTAGATTTGGGGGGCGGGGGGGAAGGCAGAGTGTAAAAGGGGATTAAGACTATACTATGTAAACCTGGTATTTTTCATACAAATCATATCAGAAAATCAAAATGGAAGAGAGAAGTTTTTCTCAGGGGACCAAGGGTCAATAGACATGGCCCACTCTCAGCTCACTCTGCAAAGTACCAGTCCAGCAGCTGATATTAGATCCTGTCTTGGGGAAAATGACTCCAACCTCAACTCCAAATACAAGATATTCCAGTCCCCAACACAAGCACTAGGATGGTTGCTACCCTCGGCTTTTTCCGTTGCCAATTCTACTCATGTTTGCTTTTTGGCACTCTAAACCCTCTCAAGCCTAGCACGTTACAAAATAGCTCTGCATTTCAGCATTAGAAGGAGGCGTTAGGACTGCTGCTTGCAAATTTTCTAACTGGAATAAAAGGCCATTTTATCCAGTGTCTAAATAATGCTTAGAGAAAATGCTTTTAATAAATCATTTCCTGCTGGGAAAAGGACTACGTAGCTTAGAAGCAAAGTCCTCTGCAGCATCATAAACATCACTGCAAGTGCCACGTAATCCTGAACCTTGCTCTAGCTGAGCTATTTGAAGATCATTCAGCATTAATAGATCAGTACAGCAGATACATTAATAGATCAGTACTTAACACTGCACTCATAAGCACAGTATCTCTTGCCTTAAAGATCCCTAAACACTGTCCCACTCCTTCAAACTGGAATATTCAGCTCTTCAGAAAGAAAGTTTGCAATTTTCTTCCACTGACAAAATACAAAATAATAATAATAATAAAAAAATGTTTTCTGAAGGAGGAATTGTAAGGTTGTGAAACATCAGCAAAAGCGAGATGTCAGAATGACCTACTGAATCAGAGCATGGGTTTCCCCAGAATGCTTAGTAGAAGTTAAAGAAATGTTCTTTACTTTATGGTCCATTCCTTCAAGTTTATTAGAGTTTCCAGGAAAAAATACTGCAAGGTAACAAGTGGTTTTCTCCACAGTACAATATTCAATCTCTCTTCTCGGTCCCTTCGCTTCCGTTCACTCAAAGAGGAATCTGCAAATGAAAAGCAACAGAAACGTAAGAGTAGAGGCAGAGTGCAGGTTCTAGCCTACCCAAAACTATATTGATGGTTTTTGTTGTTTTGTTAGGAAGTTAATGTGAGCTCCCAGTCATCTTTTCTACTCATCACAAAGCATGTGCTCCAAGCACATCAGAAATCAGGTGATCTCCAGTAAAGGAATAAGCTGACAACCATTCAAGAATCTAAACTGGCCCAGGGTGCAAAAAGTCGGGCATATCGAGCAGCCTTGAAGCAAGGCACTGCACTACTAGTTACACACCAGCTTAGGTCAAACGTGACTCCATCACCCACCACGGGGACCACGTTTCACTTTGAACTTCTCAATTTGGGTCTCTTCCAAAGCTATTCTCAGACTCCTCCAATCGAACTAGATAGAATTACACGTGCTCTTTATACACGTCAGTCACCGTGTAACCGGAGAGCAGCATCCCTCCCGCCGTCAGGATCCTCAGGCTGTGGGAAGCCTCGCTGGGCTGCGCAGCTCCTCCAAAACGAGCCCAGCACACAGGTAGTGCTCCCACGGAAAGGACTCGCTTCTATATCACGGCCCTTCGCTGGACTGACACGATACTTTTGGTTGCTTTAAGCTGCAGCGGTTTGGTTCTGCTGCAGAGTTTGACACCACGTTAACAGCTGTCATGGTACAGCGCCACACAAGTACTAAAGAAAGGTTCTGCTAATAAATGTTATTTTGTGCTTACGATACAATCGAGGTTAATAAAAACCCTCGCCATTTTTTGGATGAGAACAGTTTGCCCAAAGGGAGTCAAGCTAACGAATTATGATAATTTTTACACTTTTAGAGAAAATGAATTGTGAAATAAGAGGCGGGAGGGGGAGAAATAATCCCAAAGCAATGGAAAAAAATACACAGAAGTAACTCTTGTATCCGGACATCCAACTTGTTTAAACACCACTTACAATGCAAAGTCAAAACATACATATTCTAGTTTGTATGCATTTAAAGCACTGCAATAACATTAATGAATTTTGAATTTGTGAAAAGATGCTGCCGACAAAACATCAATCTAATCCATTGGCATATTGTGACCCAAGATATAAAAACATGCTGCCTTATCAGGTGCTCATATTTACGTGGAAATTGCACATCTCATCAGTCACATAGCTCATCTAATTTTGTATTCTTCAGCAGTAAGCATTGGTGCTTTAGAGGGACTAACAGAAATCCTACAATGGCAAATACTGGATAACATCCACACCCCTCAGAGTTAGAGAATGATTTAAGCCTTTAAGTAAAAGGCTTTGATTTGTTCTGTACATACACACATACTGTTCCTCTTCAAATTTTGCCACATTCATTTCTTCAAGAATTTCTATTCTTTATTTTTTTCACTTACTATGTCTAATAAAAAAAAAGGTTGAGGCATTTTTATGACCTTGTTTTTAGTAAAGGTCATAAAAGACAATGGTGTAAGGTGACATATAATTTGAGAAATCACTGGGTTACAAAACTTAATTAAATATGGAACTGGCACATTCAAAGCTGACAGGAAACAAACCATTTAATTTATATCCTATGCTACACAGCACAGGTAATTTGGTGACACAAGACTCTTCATGAGGTGTTCTCGGGTTATTTTTCATGAGTCCTAAACATCAACCCAAGCCTGCTTCAGACATATGAGTAGGAAAAACAGAGGCAAGGCTGGAGATGAAGTAGTTAATTGTTCTGATAGTAATTTATCATTGAAACTGATGAATTCTAGTGAAGCTAAATGCCAAAGCAGAAAAGCTAGAAATTGGGAGACCAATAACTGGATTTGTCCCAGAGTAAGGCAGATTTTTATTACCAAGTACTAACTTTACAGCACCAAGGGGCGGGGCTGTACAGCCTGACTTGTTAGAGCCACACATTTGCCAGCACAGTTTAGCTTTTCAGCTCAGCCCCACTGCAGCCCTTGTTGGTAGCCAGGCCAGCCACGCAGGGCCCACACACATTTCCACTACAGAGTAAGAACTCTGGAGAGAGAAAGGAATATAAGAGATGAGAAATACACAGCATAAAACTATTCTGTGGCTTGACAATACATAGATCCTCCAGACTTCAGATTTAGAGATGACTGAAGTTTCCAAGATTAATTCAGACATGGAGGCCCTTGGCGTTACCTGGGCATGAAGGGCACCGACATAAAATCTTTCGAGGGCTGTGCTGCCCATTGAACACACCAAGCTGACCACCTGGGAACGTGAAGTCACTTTCCACCCACCTGTAAAGTTTCCGTTGTGCTGTTCTTTCATTCCTACGCGTCTCTGGTCACAATCTGTTCCATTCTCTGCCATCTCATAGATCAGTCACGTATGGGGACCTAACAGCAGAAGGAAACCAAAGAGGGCAATGTCTCCATTTCTGGTTATGAAGACTTCACTTACTCCATAGTCGAAGGATACAGACAAACATCCAGCAATTCTCCAAACCCAAGTCACAGTTATCCTGCATTACACCATTAAAAAGGAGAAAGTGATTCAATTCCCTCAGTGACAAAGACTAAAACAGTCCCACCTACGTATATCTAAATTTTTCACCAAAATGACAAAGCTCCCTCATTTCTAGCAACTGAACAACAGCTTGTTGAACCATCCCTTCTACTCATCAGCCCCCTGTTTGGGCTCCAGAAGCAGCAGAGCTTTACATGAACCTCAGTTCAACGTCATGAGAGGCACTTACAGTTTGATTTTCGTATTAGAAATCATCTACTCAGGCACTAAGCTTGCAGGTAGTTTGTATGCAAGTAGACCTCTGGAAAAAAAAAACCAAACAGCCCAGCCCTCAGTACAGTAACTAAGATGCAGAAGTGCATCTCGTGTTTTGTACAGTCTAATATTTCTAAAGCAGAAAAGGTAAACTCTTCAATGAGCTCTCCGATAGAAAGCTTTTCTGAAAAGCCTACATTCTCTCTGCCAGTTCAGCCTCTCTCTAGTGAGGTCAGCCTTAAAAAGTGCAAAAGAACAGCTGTGGTTTTCCTTATCCAGGAGAGTAAATAGTGCAATAATTGGAAGGCAGCATAAACCAGAATGTTGCAAGAGTTTCTGGATTTTTTTCCTAAAACAACAACCCCAAACTGAACAGCTGACAATTCTTAGGCAATCAAACACAAAGAAAGCAGCCAGACTCCTTGCCTTAAAAACTCTTTCTCGTATCTTAAAATGGTTTCTGGAATTTTATTTTGGAAAAGAGGGTCCCATGAAGCTAAAGCATCTCATTTGCATTGCATTTCTCCCTGTAAGCAAACATGATTTACAGATTTTGATACACTGCTTTTGTTAGAGAGAAAAGTAGCGCAATATTAAAATGACAGGTTATATAAAACTGTCTAGTCGAGGAAATTAAAGTTTTATAGGAAAAAAAAGGCTTTCCCTTTGATTTATGTTAGGCTTAAGAGACAAGAAGCAGCTCAGGTTTGGTAAACAGCAGTGAGACCTCCCCTTTGATTCAGACTGCAATAATTTTGTCTATTTTTTAAAATAAAATGTTAAAAGATTTCAGATACTGTGTTTGTTTAATATTTCCAGGGTTTCACAAGACAGATTCAGACAGATGTTCTTCTAAACAGGTACAAGCCTCATGCATTACTTGTAATACAGATAACATTGCTAGCTGGAATGCAGTTATTAAAGGAGTTTTAAGTAAAATCCAATAGCCAAAAGCATCTCTGGAAGGAATCCTTCCTCCCTGAAATGAAATGCACAGAAACAGAGATATGCCTAGTTAAACAAGCTAGCAGACACTAATGTCTTGCATGTGACAGTTTTTATTCATTAAACTTGGGCCCCAGAATACCCAAACCACCGAGAAAATTAATAGAACAGCCTTGCGAAAAGTTTGCTTCCGAAAAATGCTGAAGAGCTCCATAGTCAGCCAAGGAGCACAGAGAAGTGACCTGCTGCAGCGAGAGCTCCATGGCCTTGTTCTGCAGTCGCTCACAGTCAAAGGTTCACTCCAAAGAGTTAACAAACACCAGAGAAATGGGAACCACATTCTCTCCTCAGGCCCGTTTCAGAGTCCGTTTCAGAGCAGCCTCACACTCGAAAGAAAGTCAGAGGAGTTACAGCAGCATTTAGCTGAGGAGAACCAGCCAGCTGCTGCGGTGACACACGGATGAGATGTAGAGCCACCTCCTGATTTTTGCAGGACAGTAAGTGCCTCTAGATGGTAGAACAGTTCATTTCTACTGATTGTACTTACGTGTGCTTATTTCTCTCTATATAAATATTTATTGGTACACACACAATATAAGCTTATTTACACACATACATATGTATATCACATAGGAAAAACTCAGATTGCAGAGGGGAATGTTTAAATTGGGCCGTTCAACAGCCTGATGTTCACAGAAAGCTGCTTAGGAAGCAAAAGCCATCAGAGCCATTCTGCACACTACTGCACTGAAAAAACACCAAGCCAACCTTCTGGTTTAGGGAACTTTAGTCACATTTTGGTGGCTTAAATGTAACAAACATTAAAAAGAACAACACAAAAAAGTTTCAGTGGAAGCCACATGTTCCTCATTTTGAAATTCGTCTTTTTCCCTTGTGCAAATCCAGCCTTCAAAATTGAAGTCTCAATTGGTTTAGTCTCTGCTCTCAGCACAAAGTTAATTTACTGTGATGCAAACAGCTCTCCGTGTCTCATGCTAAAACCCAAGCTATGCACAAAAACGCTCCTTCTCCATGAACTGAATTCCACTGCACTTCATTAAGCATCTTACTGGCACATAAAAATCATCAATCTCTAGGGATCTCAGGCGCGTAGTTATGTACATATTACAGCTTTCACAAGCTCAACTAACAGAGCCAGTTTTACCCTGCCTGCTTGGAAAGGCATTAATCTGGGATTAGCTTTGCATAACACTACCTCAAGTACACAAGTCAACGTTTACAGCAAAGCAGATAAATAATCCCCTTGCACACTTCTGCAGGGAGAATACTTGTTAAGAAGGTCTTAAAGATCAAGCATTCTGTGGAACAGCTCTAAAAACTTTTATTTAAGAATACATTTGACCAGGAGATACCTATTACATAGCAAATCCAAATAGGATGCAACCCAGAAACCAAACCCTTACCAGTTTCAGGAAAAAAATTAATAAATAAATCCTTGGTTTTCCAAAGTCTAATTATACTTAAAGCATCTTAGCATAAAGAACTGGAGGATGTGCATCTAGACAGCTCAACTCTCAATCTGTTGCTCTATTTGATGCTTATTAGAACCCCTAGTCCTGCACTAATATCTTCCTGGAGATTAACTGGAGTAGGAGTCTGACCCAAAATGGAGTTATTCTTCAATAACTCAGTCCACATCCCCAAGTCTACATCAAATCCATGATAGCTCACTAAAGGAAATTAAATTCCATCTGCTAAACAGAACTTACAAACGCTGAAAAAGGCACAGAATCCACCTCCAAAAATAAATTTGCCTAATACATGAAGCAGTTACCAGCAAACACAAAAATAAACTATTTAAAAGAGTGAGAAAAACAACTTTGAACAGATTTTTTATCAGAGTTGTTTAGATCACTTGTTAGAGCCATGCTCACACAAGAACTTCTTTGTAGGGCTGAACAAATAGCCCACAATACACTATTCAGCTTTAATGCAATCCATAACATGAAGTATAAAAAGACAATTATTGCCAGTAAAAAACATAAAACGGTCAACAAAAAGGGCTTATGGTAACCGCGACTGGCACTTTGCAGCGTGAGACAAAGCAAGCCATGGAGCATGAGAATATAAAGTCAGGCACTGCGATCTCTTCCCTCCGTAACCAGAGCAAAGGACAAGTGTCTTCTTTCTGAAGCTCTGCTGAGGCTCCTGAGGCACCCAAGTGTTGGTGTACTTGTATAAAAAAAAAAAAAAGTTTCACAGAAGGCAGTTGGGTGCTCGCACTTTCACTTGGAGGAGCATAATGTGGACTCAGTAGCAAGGATTTTTTTGAGGACTCCCTTCCAATGTGCTGGAACAACAAGGAAGCTGTTAAGCTATTTTTAATTATCTCACTGCTTTCCCAGGCATTGTTTGATTCACTAATTCTTACCACTTCTTACTTCAAGAGACTCTGGAACCCTGACTCTCATCTCCATCAAAGTTACTTGTCACACAACTGCTAGAACCAGATTAGACCGTTCTGCTGGCGTTTTCTACCTTAGAAACACACCATTTTCAGTCCTTTGTCATTTCTTGCATCTTAAGTCAAATTCTGCAATCCTGCCAGTATCCCGCTGCTTCTTTCTCCTCAGCTTTTCTCGTAAG